ATAAATTTATAACCCTATGAGATGGGTGCTCCTATTGAGATGGACTTAACGAATTCACCGCATAATGCTTGAGTACAAAGTGCTCTTAATGATTTATACTCAATTGGAGTGGTCTATTTAGAGGTAGACCTAACAAGATCCCTGACTTGAGTGAAAAAATGGTTAACTGCCTCTTATGAAAGATAATAGAGGTATCCCAATAAGCTGAGTGGCTAAGAAATATGTTGAAAACGTGGAGTTGTGGAGGTGTCTAGCTAACACCCTCACTACATATACATTGTGATTCAGGAACTGTCGTTTGCATTGCCAAAGACAGTGTCGTCTATGATAGAAAAAAAAAATACTTACAACTGATTTATGTATTTAACTACTCTATAATCCTTAATGGTGGTCGATACTGAGATAGACCTGATAGAGTTAAAAGTCTGTATTGAGATGGATTTGACAAGACGTAAAAATCTACAATGCTGTTAGACTTGTCAGAGTTAAAAGTCTATGCTAAGATAGACTTTGACATGGTAGACGTCTATATTGAGATAGACATAACATACTTGAATACTAAGGGTATTCATAACAAGTCAAAGAGTTTGACTTCCGAAAAACCTGCATAATGGGTGTTGATATGTGCACATGAGTTCAAAACTACCTCTCCTTGGCTAGTTCAAGATTCAATTCACTACTAAGAAGAAAGTTATTCAAGTCACTACGTGTCAGTTCAAGGTATAAACCATTGACATTAAGGTCAGCGCTCACTTCCACTCAATCATAATCCTTTTACTTTCCTCTTTAAATATGTGGGGAATTGTTGGGAATAATTCAAAGAGAAAAGAGAAAATAGAATGAGTGGCTATATATTGTTGTTTAATTTTTTAGGCCAGCACTAATTGCTCTATGATTATGGTCTGCGCCACTCATGTTTGTTTGTGTGGCTGGGACGGAAGGGGCTGCTTACTATATATAGTAGCTCCCAACATCATTTTTAGAACACACTCAACATTTATAGCTTCTTCCTTCTTTCTCATGTGAGGATATATATATATATATATATATATATATATATATATATATATATATATATATATATATATATATATATCGTGTCTGTCTATTAAAGTCTGAGCAATAGTGAGGTTCACCTACGTGATTGCTAGTGCAAACTATCCATAGTTGGTCTGTGTTGTCTGTCGAAAGCGTGTCAGGGTTCTAACTGCACCGTTACCGGGCAAATAACGCTTTTAAGGTAGTGTTATTATAACACGGCACAAAATTCCCTTTTACCATACACCCGTTGTGTCCGTGCTTCTTAGGTTACCAGCCCCTACGTTGACGTTGCTTAAATTCCCCAATAGTTGTGTGGTGGTGGTAGTGTCATAGTGGTGGTGATTGTGGTTGTAATAATAGTCAAGAAACTAACTTAAAAAAGAAGAGAAGGATGAGGGATGAAAAATAAAGAATCAGAAAATGTCTTCAGACTAAAAGTTTAGGAAGACATTTTTCGTCAAATTGGATCTTTTTTCCCTTAACCATGATGAATATTTTAATTTGACTTCATTTTTCTTAAGTACCAAACACTTTAAAATTCAAAAACATAATTTTCAGAAGTCATTTTTCAGATTTCTAAATGAACCCTAATTTTGACCATCAAGTCACTTTATTTTTATGCATATTGTCCATTTCACCTACTAGTTAGGAAAAATGAATTAGTCAAAGTACCTACAAGGTCCTTATACTATAGCGTTTTGTTCAATTTAGTCCTTATACCTTATTTTGTTCAGTTTAGTCCCTGTATTTTCAAAAGTAGTGCAATTAAGGACAATAGTTAACGGTGTTAATATTACCATTAACTTAGGTTATGTAGCGCTGACGATATTTACATTCCTACTTATATATTACTTTATAAATATTTAAAATTAATTATTTTTACCACTAATATATTAAATTAGTATGTCCAAAATAAATAATTACAACCATGTTCTTAATGATATTTAGACAATTGTCTTTAATTTCACCACTTTTTAAAAATAAACGACTAAATTTAACAAAATAAAGGTATAAGGACTAAATTGAACAAAATTCTATAGTATAGAGACTTCATAGGCACTTTGACCGTGCACCTGATATCCTCCACTTCCCTACTATGAAGTGGAGGATTTCTTCAATGTATCGCGACATATTAGAGTATATCGCAAGTTTTAATTGAAGTAAGAAGACAATTCACCAGTTTTGAGCCTAAGAAAAGGTAAAAAAAAAAAAAAAAAAAAAAAAAAAAAAAAAAAAAAAAAGAACATTTCGGCGGAATAGAGGTCTGATGTGGTGAAGTTTTGGTGTGTTCTATGTGTTGGTGAAGTTAGTGTGATATTTACAAAGATTTGGGAGGAAAAAATTGAATTGCGTGTCAGACTTGCATTTCGGCGGTCGGAAACTGGCATCTGACATGCGTGCAATGCAAAAGGATTAAAAACAAAGGAAAATGTTCAATGTTAGCTACAAGTTTCAAACCTTTGACCTTCCAATTGAAAAACAATAAACACATGTTTACATACTTAAATACTCCTTTGTATAAATACTCTTCCTATACAAAATATCAAATACAGAAAACGGACTTCAATTTTTTTTCATCTCCTCTCTTTCGCTGCTTTATCTTCTTCCTCACTTCATTGTTCATCCATGTCTCTGCTCTAAGTCCGGAAATCTATTATGGTATCAGGGCAGAGACATGGATGAACAATGCAGTGAGGAAGAAGATAAAGCAGCAGTGGAAGAGAGATGAAGAAAAATTGAAGTATGTTGTATATATTTGATATTCTGTACAGGAAGAGTATTTATACTAATGAGTAACTAAGTCTGTTATGGTATCAGAGCTTCCGTTAAGCAACATTTAATCAATCATTATGGCATGACAAACAACACATCTGCTCTTGGCATCAGGACTTCAGTCCCCGTAACGCAACCACCTCCAATCCCTCCACCACAACAGCCGCGGAATCAACCAGATGAAGTTGGATTTGTGATCAATGTCAAAGGATATAGATATAAGCTCAAAGGGGTGATCTGCTCAACTACTAGAAGTTCTCCTGCAAATATGTTAGCAGTTGTTCTATTTCAATTTGTATACATTCTGTTAAAACAATAAATTTTCTAACAGACTTAAATACTCCTTTGTATAAATACTCTTCCTGTAAAAAGTATCAAATATAGAAAACAAACTTCAGTATTTCTTCACTCTCTTTCGCGGGTGGACGCACATTAAGTATTAAACTGACGCATTTTAAGTACACAACACATGCACATTAAGTACACAAACAAAACACCTTACGAACACAAATTCACGCACCTTAAGACAAACCTCACGCACCTTAATCACAAAACTCACGCACCTTAAAGTTTCAACAACTAATCACATTAAGCACAAAACTCACGCACCTTAAGCATAAGACTCACGCATCTTAAGCACAAGACTCACACACCTTAAGTACAAAGCTCACGCACCTTAAGCACAAAACTCATGCACCTTAAGTTTCAACAACTACTTACATTAAGTACACACCCACGCACCTTAAGCACACAACTCACGCACCTTAAGCACAAGACTCACGCACCTTAAGTACAAAACTCACGCACCTTAAAACCGCACAACCGCACGGGAAACATTCACCCGCACTGGAAAAAGTTTAAATGTGGCGAGACCTTCCCGTGCGGCGATGCGACGGGGTTTCAGAACGAACAGTGTTAACGAAAAACACCAACAGTGTAAGGAAAACACACAACAATGAAATGCAAAAATACACCAAAAAATACACAAAACATCTAAAAAAAATACACCATATAACTCACCACTCATAATGGTGTATTTCCGAACACTGTATGATGCTTTTACTCACACCTAATGGTATGTTTTTGGTGATGCGTACCTAATTTGTGTATGTTTTTGTGGTGCATTTCCTAACGTTGATGGTGTGTATTTGCTCAACTATTGGTGACACCGCACTGCCTCACAGGAAGAGTCCGTCGCACCTGAAATTAACTATATATATATATATATATATATATATATATATATATATATATATATATATATATATATATATATATATATAGTTAATTCCCAAAGTGGTCCTCCGATTATTAAATTTTAAGTCAAAATGGTCCTCCGTTAGTTTTGGTTTAAGTAGGTGTTAAAATGAGGGGTAAAACTGGTCATTCAGAGTTTTCACTATAGTTAGAGGACTACTTTGGGTGCAATTAAAAGTCAAATGACTAATTTGCCATAGTCGAATGACCATTTTGGAAATTTTCTCTTTATAGTTCAAACATGATTTTGTACTCATTTTAATTAAAAAGGTTTGATCTTGTACTTATTTTCATTTTCTAAATAAACAGTAATTTTACTTTAATTGTTAGCTAGAAATTTTTTTAAAAAATAACTTAGAATAATAATTTTGATTATTAGCCTAGTACTTAAAAAAATGATTTTTTTAAATATTGTTATTTAAAAAAATAACAATTTTTTTTTAAAAAAATTCTACCTAAAAATTAAAGTAAAAATATTTTTTTATTTAGAAAATGAAAATAAGTACAAGATCAAACCATTTTAATCAAAATGAGTACAAATGTTTGAACTATAATGAGAAAATTTTCAAAATGATCTTCCGACTATGGCAAATTAGTCATTTAACTTTTAATTGCACCCAAAGTAATTATCTGACTACAGTGAAAATTTTGAATTACCAGTTTTACCCCTCATTTAACACCCACTTAACAACGGAAGACCATTTTAACTTAATATTCAATAGTCGAAGGATCACTTTAAGTGCAATTAAAAGTCAAGGAACTAATTCGAGAAAAGGTCATAGTCGGAGGACCATTTTGAGAATTAACTATATATATATATATATATATATATATATATATATATATATATATATATATATATATATATATATATATATATAACAAATCAAATGAAATCTATTCTATATGTAAGATATTAATACCCCAACTAAGATTGAAATCTTTTAGTGAGATTCAAATCAAAGATTACATTCTAGTCTCAAATTTAACAAGAATATGAGGGCACTGTGCTCTCCCTAAATAGGGAGACCTGTAAAAAGGTTTCCTCTTCCATATAACAAGGTTATGGAATTGGGAGGTATACATATTTTCTTTGATTTACAACTCAAGGAAAGCAAAATGCATAATTCTATTAAAAGCATGCTGACGCCGCCCTTTCCAGATCGGCCATGAAGAAAAACTTCCCATTGCTAGGGGCACGGTCGCATGTAGCATAAAAGAATGCACATTCTGGCTTTGCGTATAAGCTAAATCGGCTCAAAAGAACCATTTCGAGAGCCATTGAGAGGATAGAGTCAGTGGTGGGCACCGAACATCAATGCAACAGCAATGAGTTCATTGGCAGGGAATTTAAGTTCATTGGCCCTGTCTGCTAAGCCATTGAGTCACCGTGATTTACATCCTCTCAAATGCTCTGTCAGGCCGGGGTGTGGGGACTGGGCCCTTGGAGTTGGGGATTCAACCTTTTGGGAGGAGAAGCAATACTCAATTTGTGTCAATTTATCACCATCTACCTGTAAACTGTTATGTCCAGCAGTTAATACAGAAACATCAATGTCTGACATGCAAGTAATAAAGGGCAGTTGAAGCAATTTAACAACTATGGTTCACTAAACTTGTAGTCAAAGATACATACCTAACAGAGAAGAAATTTTTATGTCACCGTTTTCTTCAGCTTCTCGATGTTCAACAAAATTTAATGGAAAATGAGAACTCCTAGCCTATTCTCACATGAAAAGCCACCCTACATCTTGAGTTGTTAGTGACTGTAGAATCTAAAACAGCTATGTCCTCAAGACAAGTCGAGCTATGGTGGATATTCATCACTCAGTACTATGACTGGAGCATCTAAGTTATGTTCTGAAGACAAGTAAGGTTAATGGATAATCTATTACTCCGTTCTAGACTTGTAGACTCTTGGTCTTGGGTTGAGAGGTGGAATGCCTGGACTATTTCTCTAAATTCTACCGACATTTGTCATACTTGACAGGTGCTTGCTTAAGAGTATTAGCTATTATGTTTTGGGTTCCACTGTAGCTGTTTCTAAGATCAAGCAGCAGGCTAATCATCAAACTAACCATTTTTGTTAAGGGCGTTGCCTAGGCGTCCGGTCAGCGGAGATCGGTCGCCTAATGAGCTTGCATCGGTGACCTCGCCTTGAAAAAAACCCCTACTAATACGTAGCTGAGAGCTTGAGACGTTGACTCTCCCCCCCTCCCAGCCTCGCCTTAGTGGTTGTTTACTTTGCTGAGAATGAAAATAACCCAATTATGATCCATTAACGGATCCTAAAAGGAATGCTAAATCTAAAGACGGCAAAGACCCATGCCGGAAATGCTAAATTATTGCATAATTTAGTACTCCGTACTTATTATTGAGATTTGAGAATATGTTTATATGCTAAAATGATAAAACGCTATATATAGATATAGAGTTGAGTTCAAATGAGGACAACTATATTATAGAGGACTATGAGGACAGATGTAGTCGTGTGCCATTAGTCTGCATGTCGTGTGCATGGCCAAATGTAGTCGTGTGTCATAGTTTGTATGTCATGTGCATAGGTTTATTAATTAATAGAGTCTGGGTTCGAAACCCGATGTTTACATGTATGCCTAGTATGCCATTGTGTATTAAATTGTGTGCCTGGTACTAATTTGTCGTGTGCCCATTATTTGTCCGTACAGTCCTCTATATATTACTGTCCTCATGTGAACTCAACCCTATATATATATATATATATATATATATATATATATATATATATATATATATATATATACATCCTCATCGCCTAGTTGTTGCCTAGGCGGCCGCCTAATCGCCTAGGCGACTTGGCGGTCGGTGGCACCTCGCCTTGAAAGTCTGCCTTAACAACAATGAAACTAACTACCACGGACAATAACACAAGGTTCTTTCCTTCTATTAGCATGACATTGGAGAATTTTTTTTTTTTATATACTTTTTAAGTGAACATTGAAGTTAAATTAATTAGTAAAAAAGAAAGAGGTTTTATTTTCTGGGACTTTGTTAAATTGTGCAGGGGTAGGATTTTCCAGTACCTTACCTTTGGGTTTTTGGTGTTCTTCAGGTTACTTGAGGCGAGAGATTCAGTCTGCAGGTTTTAAAAAAATTGATTAGTGTCGGGAATTTTATGCACCTTTGGAATTCAATAAGCAGTTACAAGCAGGCAACTGATTTATTTATATCCCACCATGTAACACTTTCTTGTTGGAAGAGGTGAGTAAAGGTCATCATAGATAGAAAACCAGTGCATGAAGGGCAAAGTGACTTTCTATGTTAACGTTTATCAGAGCTTAGTTTTGGACTAATTTGTTACTAAAACACAAGAACTAGTTCTAGTTGTATTAATGGTGAAACATGAAGGATATCTGTTAACATAACACAAATGCAAATAACAAAGCAACCATTAAGAAAATTTTGCAAACAAGGAACTCAATTAGGAAAGAAGAAACTTATGTTAACAATTCAAACAGTCTCCAACCCCCGCTTATGTTTTTCATTTTAAGTTTTCTAAATACAAAATAACCAAATAAAACCCCCGCCACCAAGACTACCTGCAGAAGAGTTACTCAACTAGGCCCATCTAGTTTTACCAGTCATTATAGATGGCTAGATGCCGTAACATTCTTGGTGCAAAAGAGACGGAATGTATGATGAGAGTCACAACTGGATATCTTGTCTAGTTGACCTACTATATAGAGGGTGGAAAGCAAGGAATTACTAGGGACTCACAAACAGGAAATAAACAGAAACATACATTGCATTACTCAAACAATAACAGCAAATATAAAAGTGCACCTGAGTGGCATCGATTGGGAAACAAGACGCAGAGGGTAGACCATCGTTTTGCTCAACTCTGCTGAAATATCACAGCAGGAAATTCAACACATTGGCCAGAAAAGAATCCAATTGGCTGTGAACTTCATATTCATCAGCTCTAAGAGGCTCCATCAATACTTTACAGATGTACATCTATATCGGGTACAAACCCTTTCTCAATCATCTCTTCATTGATTATGTCATAGGTTGTTCGATTAGGTGCCAACCCTTTCTCTAGCATCTCATTCAAAAGCGCATTTGCTTCTTCCAGCTTACCTTTAGAGCAAAATCCCTTAATTAGTACATTGAACGTTGCAACATTTGGCTGCTTTCCTTCTCTTTCCATTCTTCGCCTAACAGTAGCAGCTGCCCTGGGATTTCCTTCTTGGCAATAACCAGCCATCAATTTATTGTATGTTACATGACTTGGAATCAAGCCCTTCTCAGAGATCTCATCAAGAAAGCGAACGGCTTTTCTTGATTCACCCCTCTTGCACATTGCATCAATCAGTATATTATAGGTTACAAGATCAGCTTCCAATCCTTTCTCCACCATCTCATCCAGCAACTTTCTAGCTGTTTTAACATTCCCCTCCCGATAATAGCCACCTATTAAGCAATTATAGGTGGAAACATTAGGTTGAATCATTTTGCTTAGCATTAAGCCAAGAAGTGATATTGCTTCTTCCATTTTCCCTGCCTTACAATATGCATCAATCAGAGAGTTAAAAGTGAGTACATTTACAACTAATCCCCGCTTTATTATATCATCAAACAACTCCCTAGCCTCCATCAATAGCTTGTTTTTGGAAAATCCATTTATAAGGGCATTATAAGTAACAACATTAGCCTGCAACCCCAACCTCACCATTTCTGCCTGTAAACCAAGAGCCTCACTAACTCTTCCATCCCCACAAAGCCCATTAATCAATGAGTTGTATGTCACGATGTCTGGCCTCGTCCCATGCCCTTGCATCTCACGAAAAATCTTTAAGGCCGCCTTAATGTTATTATCCTTACAGAATCCATCAATAAGAGTGTTATACGTTATCTCACTTGGGTGTATCCCCTTCTCCACCATTTCCTTTAGAACTGCATCCGCTTTGTACATCTTCGCAGCTCCTCCCCTCTTACAATACCCATGTATTAATGTATTATAAGTAACCACATTCGGCATCACTCCCCTAACCTTCATGTCTTCCAAAACATCCTTAGCCTTATTCAACTTCCCTGCCTTACACAACCCATTTACCACCTCATTAAATGTGAACAGATTAAGCCCAATCCTCCTCCTAATCATCTCCTTGTACATAAACTCCATTTCCCCAGTTTTATTCTCCTTTAACAACAAAACCAAAAGCGGATTACACGAATTCACAGACAACCTAAACCCATAATCACCAGCCCGCTTAAACGCGTCCAGAGCAAAATCGAGTTTCAAATTATTAACAAAAGCCAATATCAGCATATCAACAATGATGGAGTTAGCATAGTGGCTATTACTACAAGTCAACAATGCATGAAAAAAGAATGAAATTGACTGGATTTTTCCATCTTTAACAGATGAGTGCAGCAAAGATCGAATCTTGGGATATCCCTTTTCCTGTGCAAGCAAAACTAATAATCTGCAGAAATATTGAGGAGGGTAAGAAACGTGATACGCTGTCTGGGACCATTTGAAAAAGGCGAGAATGGCGTCCGAATTAAACCCGGATTCGAGTAGCTGTTCGAGGAAGTCTGTCGGGTCGGTGGGTTTAATCAAGTTTCTGAGTTTGGACCAGTGCTGCTTTGCTATGAGGTCTGAAACAGTGGATTTGGGAATTTGGTGAGCAAGTAGACAGAGGGGCGGAGTGGGGTTTGTTTCTGAGTTTGAAGGCGAGGGGATAGCGGTGTTGGTGCAAATGAAACGATCGAATTGGGGAAGAACAGAGGAGAACATATGCGTATGAAAGTGGAGACGCCGCAAGCTACTGCACCCAATAGACATGAGGGCTGGGGGGTGGGGGCAAAGAGAAGAGACCTTAAAATTTAAATCCAAAATGGTGAAAGCAATCGCTCAAATCCAAAATTGTTTTGTTATAAGAAGTAAACTAGACTTTATTGTATTGTTTTAAAGTTTAAATGTTAAGTTGGGGCTATTTACCACGGCAAATTATGCTCTGGACCCGTGTCCACATTGAATTGTGGACACGGGCCCAAAACGACGCCGTTTTTTAAAAAAAACGCGTCATTTAGTTAAAAAAAAAAAATTCGCGCGTGTTTTGCCGTTAACGGCGTTAACGGCGTTATTTTTTTTTTTGATTATGAATGTACAGTTATGCCGTTATGAATGTACAGTTATGCCGTTATGAATGTACAGTTATGCAATTATGAAATTATGAACACAGAGCTCTAACATTATGAACTTACAATTATGAACATATATAGTGATAAAATTATGACCATTGAGCTTTAAAATTGTGAATATAGAGCTTCGAAGATTATGAATGTACAGTTATAGAGTTATGAATCTACAGTTATGGAGTTATGAATCTACAGTTATGAGATTATGAATCTACAGTTATGGAATTATGAATGTACAGTTATTGATCGAATTATGAACAAAGAGCTCTAACATTATGAACTTACAATTATGAACATATAGTGATAAAATTATGAACATAGAGCTCTAAAATTGTGAACATAGAGCTTCGAAAATTATGAATGTACAATTATGGAGTTATGAATGTACAGTTATGACGTTATGAATGTACAGTTATAGAGTTATGAATGTACAGTTATAGAGTTATGAATGTACAGTTATGGAGTTATGAATGTATAATTATTAACATATAGTAATAAAATTATGAATATATACTCCTATAACAAAACAGTCTGAAATTGAAAAAAAAAAAAAAAAAAAAAAAAAAGTTAACAGTGCCGTTAGCACTGTTACCCGTGTCCAGCTTGCAAGCTGGACACGGGTCCAGTGCATAACGATTGATTTACCACAATCGTTATACCCTACACCACGGCGCGCGTAGCATTGTGCGCCGCGCGCCTCCCAAAACGCCGTCGTTTTGGGAGGCGCGGTAGAAAGTTGATGTGATTATGTATATTTGTTCACATAATTATATATATTTGTTCATACAATTATGTATATTTGTTCATACAGTTATGTACATTTTTTATATAATTATGTACATTCTTTTTATATAATTATGTACATCCGAATCAGAAAATTTGTGTGTATTATGTTAAGAGTTGATGTGTATTATGTTAAAAGTTTATGTTTATTATGTATTATGTTAGATTATGTGTATTATCTTTTAAAAAGAGTATGTATATTTTGTTATATAATTATGTATATTCATGTATACAATTATGTGTATTCTAGTATAACATTATGTACATTTTTGAACAGGGGTTTTTTTTTAAAGAAAAAATAACTGACATACACTGGGGCGGGAAATTTAAAAATAATAATAATAATAATTAAAACGACGTTGTTTTGCATCTGGGCGCACAGTGTAACGTGCGCCGTGGTGTAGGATATAAATTGCCTATTTACCAAGACTTTGTGGTCTAATAGCATCTGGATTGGACTTTCATATAGGAGATTGCGAGTTCGAGCCTAGTGGAGCTATAACGCCCTTTGTGCTATTTCAATAATTTTATTTCTCTTTTCCTAAAAATTCTAAGGTATATAAAACTTTATGCCTATCTCTTCTAATTTTTTCTTTACATAATAATTTTTCTTTTACTTTTTAGTTTTTAACACTTATAGTCTTACTAGCATTTTGTACGCGCGATGCGCGAAAACCTATGCCCAATATTAAAATATTGTTAAGTAACAAACTTTAAAAAAATTAGTTAAAATTATGTTTCGCAATTCTTTAAAGTGATGATACTTTTAAATTATCATATATTTGAATATAGTGATCAAAACAATATATATATATATATATATATATATATATATATATATATATATATATATATATATATATATATATATATATAAAATTTAATATTCATATAAATATTTAATTAAAATATAATTTATAATTAAATTAATTGTTATATGATAATTTTAATAAAATGATAAATAAAAATAGGAAAAAGATATGATAGATGTAGGTGTATGGTAAGATTGGTGGATATATTAAATATACTAACGGTGTTATAATGGTGTAAGGGTGATTTTGTCCAATACAAATCAAATGTACAACAATTAAAGCAAAATGTATATATTTATTAGCATATAAAAAAGGGACAAAAATCAAGGACATAACTTGTATTGGCACTTATTATGTTTTTAGATTATAAGTTATACTAGCAAATGTAAATATGTAATACTAAAAATGTTTATTACTTATATGAGAAAATATAATACTTTTGAGGAAAAATGTAATATTTTTACATTTTGATGTAAAGGTATTACATTTTTCATCAAAAGTATTACATTTTCCTTTATAAGTGCAACATTACTAATAAGGAAAAAAATGTATAATACTTTTGATGAAAAATTAATACTTTTACATCAAAATATAAAAGTATTACATTTGTCTTTCAAAATATTATGTTTTTCCTTATAAGTAACAAACATTTTATTCCTGATTAAATATTATATTTGCATATTGATCTGGCCTAATTCGACCCATCTCACGGATAAGGATTCGTGAGACGGTCCCACAGAAGTTTGAGTGTGTGACCCTTAAAACACGCAAATTATGCCCTGGAAACGTGTTCACTGTGAATGGTGAACACAAGTCCAAACGACGTCGTTTTTACGCAAATAAAATAAAATAAAATAAAAATCGCGGATGTGGAGTTAACGGCGCGCGTTTGATCAAATTATGAATTTTTTGTTATGAGATTATGAATGTAATATAAATTCATAATCTCATAACAGAAAATTCATAATCGCATAAAAGTAAAAGATGTATTAAATTATGAATTTTCTGTTATGAGATTATGAATGTAATGTAGATTCATAATCTCATAACAAAAAATTCATAATTTCATAACAGAAAATTCATAATATCATAACAGAAAATTCATAATCTCATAACTGAAAATTCATAATCTTATAACAGAAAAGTCATAATCTCATGGTTCCAAAGTGAATGTGTAGGCATGGTTCCAAAGTGAATGTGCAGGCATGGATTCATAATTTATGAATGTTCGTGATTTCGGACGGGAATGTGTAGGCATGGTTCCAAAGTGAATGTGCAGGCATGGATTCATAATTTATGAATGTTCGTGATTTCGGACGGGAATGTGTAGGCATGGTCCCAAAGTGAATGTGCATGCATGAATTCATAATTTATGAATATCAGAAATCATTGTTCACCTCAAATTAAAGTGAAATCGCGAAATGTGAAAATGAAGAAGAAAAGTCATGCAATTAATTAAGAAAAAAAAAAAAAGATAATGGTGTACTAACACCATTGGAACCGTCATTAAGAAAAAAAAAAAAAAAAAGTCATGCATTAAATGGTGAACACGGTTCCATGGCATAACGATTGCTTAAAACACATGAATAGGATTTGATTACCCCTATAATTAAAAACTCACTACCTAATTTAAATCAAGTATCATTCCCCTTATCTTTCATCATTGCATCGCCTTCTCATTTTGTTGCCTCATTACTACATAGAATTAGTGCTTTTAGATTTTTGTTCATATTGTGCTTTAAATATCATCATATTAGAATCAATTAGCTTGATTTGTATTTTTAAAACCTTTATTCATTCTCATTTCAATTCCCATGTTTAAACCAAACACACCCTAAGTATTCAAGAGACCAAATTTAAGAGTAAAGTTTTAATTTTCCTTATGTTGGCACCTTGAAGCCATTGATTCGGCGATAAATAATAACCAGTTCGTTTGCTAACTATAAACCCGACCTTAGCTCAGTTGGTAGAGCGGAGGACTGTAGTGAGTGCTGTAAATCCTTAGGTCGCTGGTTCGAATTCGGCAGGTCGGAATCTTCTTTTGGTATATATATTTTTGTTCATATTAAAACAACAAAACAAAACTCGCCGTTGCCGGGGATCGAACCCGGGTCACCCGCGTGACAGGCGGGAATACTCACCACTATACTACAACGACTTTTGCTTTTTGTTTTAAAAACCAAATACATAACTTATAAATATTTCTGTTCAAATCTCACCAAGTTTAATTAAGGCGATATTTTTTTTTTTTTTTAATTTTTTGAAATAAAAGGAACCTTTCATTAAACCAAATCATAATAACCTCGAGATACATCCCAGAGGAACAGAGTTCTAAGACCCAAGACAGACATAGAAACACTCGCCCTGTACTAACACATGGGCTACCTGATTCGTTAACCTCCGAACATGGCAGACCTTAACATCCCCAATGTCGATAGCAATTGATTTACATTGCTTGATAAAACTACCAACATAAGAATAATCGACATGCGAAGAATTATAACCATTACAGAAATTCATACAATCGGACTCCATGATAATGTGATTATCCCCACGACCTTTGAGCTAAGTAAGAGCGCAACCTCCTCCACCGCTAGCGTTTCAGCAAGGTAAGGATCTAACCCACATTGCAAACGAGAAGCATGAGCCGCTAGAAACCTACCTTCACTCCCACGAAGAACCATACCCGCACCAACACCAAATGCCGAAACTGCCGCATCAACAGAACAAGATAGGGAACCAATAGGAGGCGGAGACCATACGTTAATAACAGATACATCCGCATGCAAAGGAGACGGAACTGAGCTATGTTGGGAATAACACCCAAATAAGTGTGGATTATTTCCATCCACAATAAATTGTGGAGTGAGGTTTAACTCCTACAAATGTGGTCCTCTCCACCATTCCCCTATTTTAGTGGAAATTGAATGGCTAAGAGAGGAGGAGCAGGTAATTCTATAGCTATAAATACCATGCTCCTCCTGAGCTCTAAACGCTCAATACATTCTTCTCTTCTTCTCTTCTGCAATCCTGAGCTTCGGTGTTAACTGGTCGAAAGCAACCGGTAAGACTATTACAGT